CTTGCCCCAAAATGATAGAGCCCCTGAGACACGGCCTGGGTTCGGACCCAGATATTTGACCTCAAAGCCCACATTCTGAAGGGAATAAAGCCATTCTCTTAAAATTTTTGAAAGACACAGAGAAAAGTGAAACAATCATTTAGCCTGTTGTTTTGTATACTACAACTTGTGACCCATTCGTGGATTGTGAAAATGGATGGATGGGTTGTGACCATTTGAAAAAAAAAATAGAGTAGAAAATCATCAGTGGTCATCATAACTCAGTTATTTGAGTTACGATTCCATGTGTGTGTTGTTCAGGGTGTAAAATGTGTCTAGATCCCGGTCAACCTGCTTATTTTACAAACGAATGTACTAATATTCAGATGGAAAAATGATGTTCCAAGAGTACAGAGTATTAATAGATGAACCGGGATTAAATTTCAATTTACGTTACCAGGCTTAACTGGCTGCAGAGGAAACCAAGAAAAAGAAAGAGCATCGATACCAATAATAGGCGCGACTAGGGTAATGACAACACTCACAGGCTCCTGCTTCCTCCAGGCTACTGTGGGCAGCCTCTGCTCTGCTTGCTTTAGACATACCAACTCCTTTAACCCTCAGAGCAACCCAGTGAGGCGGGCAGGAGCACCAGTTCCTTCCATTTTCAGATGGGGGGACTCAGGTCCAGAAAGGTCAGGTAACCTGGCCAATGTCACCTAGCTGGTAACGGAGAAGCCAGGGTTTAATGCCACCACAACACTAAGAACATGGAGACAGGGAGGATCAGGTAGTACTTTCCACTGGGACACATCTGGGTTTTGGAGCCAGTCTGGCACACATTATGGTAAGTGTGTTTACTTAATTAACTGCACGCCTACTTAAGTCCTAGCATGGTGATTCACTGTTCATGTCCTCGAGTTGCCTGGTTAAATTGAAAAAATCCCAGGTACTTTTCCAAGCTTCCTTATCTCCATCACTCATTTATTCATCCATTCACATATTTAAAGACACCACGCACTTGAAGAATCAAATAGAACAGGGAGGATTTTTTTTTTCTAAAGACAAAACTTCACAACACCCTTCCTTATTCCAAAAGGGATCAAGGCGGTTCCTAAGGATATGTCGCATACACCAATGTAGAAGCAGAGGGAGACAAGGGGGGACCAGTAGGGAAACACTGCGGGCACAGCAATGAGCCTCTCGCAAAAATGTTTTCCCTACAGTCCATGTGCTGGCTACACGTGGACCACCCATCCGTCTCCTGGATCTCATCTTAATCATCTTTGAATGTTAGGATGGGATGGCAGCTGGCTCCGTCTGTGTTAATTGCCCCCTTGGAAGTAATTTTAATGACTTCAGAGTCACAGCCTCCTCCAAGTGAAAACAAACTAATTGCTTAAAGAAAGCATTCCTCCTTCTGCAACTGAGACAGACAATAATTCCTCCTGGGTCCTCCGAAGTCAACATTCCGGGATGTCATGAACAACATCCCCAGCAGCATCCTGAAGATGAGAAGGACGAACCCTCAGGGGGCTGTTACTCCCGATAGGCTGGGGGCACCATGCTCTTATTCCTAAGATGCATGATGGAGTCAGATCTACCGTATGAATAACGTGGGCTCAGAGCGCTCTGTGGAGTCCAGGGACCCACCTGCTTGAAACAAGGTGATCCAAAAAAAAAAAAAGGGTCTCTTAATCCAAATATCTGGACAAGTCTCCCCCAGCTTGAGGCCTTCCCCAACCTGCCAACCTCAGGACTCAGGCTCTCCTTGGCCTAATTTAGCACATAGCACAAGTGACATCACATTACCCGTGTGTGTGTGTGTGTGTGTGTGTGTGTGTGTGTGTGTGTGTGTGTTTATCATTTTAACCCACCCAGTACATCTCTCGTATCTCATGACTTTTTGTTCCTCGGGTTTTCCCTCACCCTTTACCCACCAAGTGCACAGGAAGAAAGCATTGACAAAAGAAGATGGCGATGGTGGGTGCTTGCTGTTCAGAAGGTTGGCTCAGGGGGGAGAGGACCCTGTCTCAGCAGGAGCTCTCCCTGGCTCAGGTCCTCTTTGTTGCTATGATGCTATAACATCCCCCAAATCAGCTCCCCAGGTGTTGGCACTTCCCTTTCTGCCTCTCAAATCTATCAATGGAGTTGCCACTGGGAAGAGGAGGAGAGGTGATTCCAGGTGACCACCGTTAGTCACCGTAGTGTTGTCCCACAATGGTTGTGGGTGAGACGGAGTCCTCCTAACCCTTTACTCTCTCACTGAGAATGTCTTGCCTGAAGTGCTCATTGGGAACCTAGTTTTTGCCTTTTATTTTGAATATTTGAGCAAGGGTATGATTTGTGAGAAGTCTATGGGGGGTTTATAAGAGTAAGATTGTGGCATAATGAGATTATGGTTTTGTAATATTGAGTACAGAGTATTGGCACTCCAGTGAGATACGGCCAGCCAGGTGTTCCAACATGGCACTTGTTACAGGGGATAATCCATTCATTCTTTGTGTCGACAAGGAGGTTTTGAAGATTAACAAACAGATGTCCTGGGCAAGGATTTATCCAAGAAGCAGAAGTCCCATAGCAAGACCCCAACAGAAGACCAACAAGCTCTGATTCACACTGACCCCTGTGATCCTCTCCGCCATATTAGCATTTGCTGAAAAGGGCCTATCACTGAAGGCCTTCAGTCGGGTCATCTGAAGAAGCCCCCCTAGGTCAGGCAGAGCCTCCTGAAGGAACCCAGCCTCGCCCACCTTGTCCCCCTCCCTGTGACAGAGGGAGCCAGGGACCTGACTCTTCATTGGCACTCTCCCAGGCCTCTCCCAGAGGGTTTTTCAGACAGGCACCTGGGGAGGTGACAGTGGCCCACACCCAGAGCCAAGAGATGAAGCATGACACTCTGCTTCTTCAGTCCAACCCCCTCAACATTCTCATTCCCCACGGGCCGCATGGAGCCCTAGACCTTCAGGTTTAAAGGTGGCCATGATGATCACAGGATCCTCCCAGGCCTCCACCTGGAACGACTAAGGAGGCGTGGCGACATTTTCGTGGGACCGGGAAGTCCTGTTCCACCCTCGTTTCTGAAGATTCCAAGATGTCATCATAAATCCCATTCGACTTCCAAGCCAGGGGAAAGCCTTTCTGCGTCAAGCTGGACAGAACAACTGCTTAGCAGAGTCTCCTCTGTTGTGAATGGAAATCTGCCTGCTCACCATAACCACCCATTGGTCCTAGTTCTACCCTTGGGTCATACAGAGCAGTGTCCACCCTTTTCCACATGGCAGCCCTTCAGGCAACAGAAGGGAACGTTCCTCTCCTGCAAGTCTTTTTCTCCCCAGGAGATGATTCCCTACGGGCCCTCCAGGAGTCCAAGACCCATCCCTGGCCCCACCATCACTGTGCCTTTCCTCTAGACTCCCTTCTGTCACCTGAAAGTCCCTGTTCTGCAGGGCAGTTCTAACACCACAGTCTGGCTTTCCTGCTGGGTTGAAACACTCTCCAACATTCCAGAAATTTGTTATGGTCCTGGCAGCCAAACCCACAAAACCCAGATCCCAAGCTCTCACTGAGCAGCCCAAGAACATGTTCAAATCATTCTCTGGCTGGCTTGGCCTAGGAGAGATCTTGCTGGACTCCGTCCTTTGGTCCCTGGGATGAATCATGAGTTTCTCTTGTTGTTGCTGTTGGCTGCCCCCCAGGTCACTGGCTGGTGGGACAGACATCACCCCTGCTGCCCTGAGCATGGAGGCCTGAAGGCACAGGTAGCACTGGGCATCCCGTTACCAAGCCCAAGTGAGTAGTCCCACTTGCTGGGTAATGCGCCAAGACCAGAGAGATCCTGGGCATCTACCTCAGTTTTCCAACAAAGGGTGACCTATAAGGGCTGGACCTCCAGACTCCTGCCCTGGAGTTGACTCAAGGACCCCACCCTCGGCACTGCAAGTCAGCTCTTCCTGGCCAGGAGCCTCACTGGGACCAACCCCACCCTCCTCCACGCAATAGCCTCCTTCCCAGAGTGCATGCCTCCCGGCTTCACCACGGTGTACTTATGCCCCATCAGAGGGCTTGTTGTGTTCCACCTTGAGAGAGGCCTCTCTCTGCCCTGCCTCAGCCTCCAGACTTGAAACTCCTTGAGAGAAGCCTCTGGGTCTTATTTAGCTGTGTCCCCAATCCTTGCACAGAGCCTGGCACAGCCATGAGAGACACGTTGGATTGAGATAAAGTGGCTCTGTGTCTCTACTTCATCAAGCTTCTCCAATGAGAAAGATGGGAACTCAGTAGCCCTTCTCTGGAAGGGAACCGGAGGAGACCACCACAGCTTTACTGCTTTCCTGTCTCCATCATGGTGGCACATCCTGTAGGTGATGAGCCTGTCTGCTCAAAGCACAAGGTCAACAGACCCCGCTCGGTGCCACCACCACTACCACGTGGACCCTTCCTAAGTCTATGAGCTCTACTTCTCCCTGGCTAGAGAGTGGCTCCACACCCCAGCCCATCAGCTGCCCATGCTGCAAATAGAAATTGAGGAGGAGAGCCTGGCTGAATCGGGACAAACTCATCTCACCCCCAGGAGCTGCAAAGAACAGTGGGTTGACCATGATCTCAATCAGCCTCAACACCCAAGGGGCTTGGGACTATTTCCACGACACTCCAGGACGAGGAGCTGAGAAGATGCTCAGCCTGCTCAGTGCAGACCACACTCCAGGGTCTAGGAGACCCAGGGTAAAGTAAGGTCTCATGACAGTGCAGCAAGTGTCAGAAGCCACACCGAGCCGCCAGACCTCCCCTGCTAGACACAGAGATTCCACAAGCTCACGTGACACCCGCCAGTTGCTCTCACATGAAGCCAGCAAAGTTATGGAAGGATCGTGCCTGGGTGGAGAGACCAGAGGGCTTCTCCCTCTGTGGTTTCCAGGGTGACACGGACAGCGTGTGGGCTCATGACACCAGGAAGGAGGGACAGAGGCTCCACGTCTCCCTTTCTCATCCTAAAGTCCAGAATTGAAAGGAGCTGCTCTTACCTGCTAAGATGAAGATGCCCACGAGAATCAGGAACACCAGCAGGTACAGCCCCAGGACAGCATGCTTCAGGGCTGACAGAGAGCCCAGCTGGGTACAACAGCCTCCTGCCCGCCGTTTGTGGCATGGACCTGGACAATAAGGATAAGAGGAGGAAGGGGAAAAGACACGTGAAAACCCCTTACATTTTTTTCTCTGTGGATCTCATTTCTCACCCATGCACACAGATGTTTACGTAGCATCCCTTCTGCTCTTTCTGCCCATCTGTCATTAGTGGGGAGCTTTCTGGAACCATCACAAGACGTTCAGCTTCGAGCTCTCCTCCCACCCTCTGTGGTCACGGACAAACAGGCAGGCATGGCCACAGCCCATGTGCTCACAGAATACACCTCCCTTGATCATTGTAAGCAGCAGAAAAACATGGAAAGAGGCTTGGATGTGGACCCTCTATCAAGCATCACTGTCTCTTGTGGTCCAGGGAATACGGAGAGAATTTAAAACAGGACTCGCAAACTCAACTCCATAGTGACCAGGAAGGGATGGGAATGAAGAAAACGGGCCAGTGGGGTTGTGAACAAGCATGCCCCGCTCTGTAAAAGGTTGTCGCCCAGGACTGAGGGCTTGCGTGTTGCCAGATCCAGAATTTCCAAGATGAGCTAGAAACAAATAAGAGACATCCCCATATTTTAAAAATATTGGCAATTAATTAAAAGCCAATAACACTGGAAAGTTAAATAAACACATTGGCAAGCCAGACCTGACCACCACCAACTGGATTTGATTTACTGGATGGAAAGCTTAGGAACCTCACCCTGTTCCCCAAATGGAACAGTGAAATATCGTTGCTGTAGTAGATCTTATAGACCATGTGTCCAACCCTGACCTTTGACTCACAGATGAAGAATGTCAACTGTAGATGAGGGAGGCTGAGACAGGAGGATCACAAGTTCAAAGCCAGCCTCAGCAACTTAGTGAGGCCCTGAGCAACTTAGTGAGACCCTGTCTCTAGATAAAATATAAAAAAGGGCTGGGAATGAGGCTGAGGGGTAAAGGACCCGGGAGTTCAATCCTCAGTGCCTCCAGCCCAGCAAAATGTCAACTGTTAATTATTGGCAACCCCACTTCAGGATCCGGGAGATCTTTGAGTTGAATTTGTCCCTTGAGGTGAGCTTCTCAGATGGCCCATGCAGAGGCCAGGAAACGGACTCACCTCTACCTGCTACGTCAACTGAAACTGGAAGGAAAGGGATGCTGTCCCATCCTGAGTCCCGCGGTGCTCGAGAGAATCACTGCAGGACGTTTTTCAACGCACACATGCCCCCCATTACCTATTCCCACCGGCCCCTGTGGAGGGACCGTCCATGCGCTGGGAGTGCCGCTAACCAACGCGCATTGCATGTGAGGAAGGTGTGGAAATGGACGTGTGCTGACAGATCATTGAGAGTTAGAATATGTCTTAAGCCAGGTGGTGGCTATGCCTGGAACCCCAGCTACCTGGGAGGCGGAAGCAGGAAAATCAGGGCTGGGCTGGCAACATAGCAAGACCTCATCTCTGAAAAAATAAAGTTCGATCCCAGCATCAGATTAGGAGATAGCATCTTTATTTAGCAAGGCGCAGGGGCACATGCCCGCAGCCCATCTTCTCAGGAGGCTAAGGCAGGCGGATCGCAAGTTCAAGGCCAGTGTGGGCAACGTATCAAGACCCCATTCGGAAGGAAGGAAGGAAAGAGAAAAGAAAAGAAGGAAGGGAGACAAGAGGAGAGTCTTGAAAGATGGTGTGGCGTTTGCGATCCCTTGGTGGGGTTCTGTTTTTAAGGAGGTTCTTCGAGGCATGTTTTACGTCTCAGGTATCCTTTGGCCTCAGGAGGTTTTGTTACCATGAGGGACAGCGGGGTGACTATTGATGGCTGCTGTCACAGGGATCGTAAATGACCTCAGAGGCCCATGCCCTTAAGGCTTGGTCCCCAAGGTAGTGCTATTAGGAAGAGGTGGATCCTTTAAGAGGTGGCCCTACTGAGAGGTCTTTAGATGAAAGCCTTGGAGGAGATGTGGGACCCCCTCCGCAGCCTCCCCACCACCTTTGGCTCCCTGGGCGCGAGGGGAGTTGTTTTGCTCTGCCTCCTGCTCCTTGCCATGACGTGCTGCCTCGCCACAGGCCCCAAACCAACGGGGTCGATTGTTTGGGCTGGAACTTCCAAAATTGTGAGCCAAAATAAACCTTTTCTCTTTTTGAGTAGATTATCTTAGGTATTCGTCATAGTGACGGAAAACTGGCTAACACAATGTCTCAGGATCCAAACAGCCCCGGACCTCCAAAGGTGCTGTGGCCCGACGAACGTTTTCACTTGTTTACTACATTTTGTTACAAATATTTCTGTGAAAACCGCTGAGCACAACAATTACATCACACATCCACAGAGCACTGGGTGCAGCACGGAGCAAGCAGTCAATAGATACAAATTCAAATAGCATGTTCATCATCCTTAAATGCTGACTGATTTTAAAGAGTCCCCTTGATTGTCCTCTAAGACTTGAACAAAGCTAACATTCTAACGCATTCCACGTCTCCTTTCCTAGGGCTTTCTATCCCTCTCCATTCACTGGGGCCCGTGGCTGGTTTTCTCCTAAGTACAAAGGCATCTGATAGCATTTCCTGGTTTTTGCTTGTGTGTTTTGTTTTGGGTGAAAGCCGCTACCCACCTTCTCAGAGAAAAGTCTTTCTCCCTCAAGAGCCAGAACGGTGGCACAGAGTTGTACAGTGTTATACGAATATTGGCTCTTGTTATCCCAACGGTAGTTCAGCTCTCCTGCTTGGGACACTCCCGTGACTGAGCCTCACTGTGGAATGAGGGGAAGAAAGCCACACAGCCATCGACACTGTTCACTTTGTCATTTGCATGAGTGTTGCTAGCTCACTGAAGGAATGGGTCACGTTGCAAAGATCTTGCTCTATTTTTTTCCCCCGTGAAAAGAGAATAGTGCTCTTGCCCTCTACCTGTGATCTCTAATAGTGAGTAGCCTCTTGGGACAGGTCCCTTCATCAACCAACGCAGAGAACACAGACCTTCCTCGGAGAAAACTTGGTCCTTTCAGTAAGACTTGATTATTTTGTATATCAAACAAAGTCTATTTTAAATAGAATATAATAAGGCTTTCGGAGAGTGATTTTCCACAAATAGATAAACTGAACAAGCATGTTCTGCAAGATGCTTAGAGAATATGATTGAAGGGGAAAAAGATAGAAATTAAGAGCAAGATGAGTCCTATTCTTCCCCAAACACTATGGAGTTGTATTTTTTTTTCCTTCAGCAAAATGTTAGCTGGGTAAACCATTCAGATTATTTAAGCTTAGTGGAGGATTAAAAATACAAAACTGATACAATTAGCAAAGCCAGGGCAAAAATCATGCTTACTTTTTTGTTTTTAAAAAAGTGAAATGAATGAGCTATAAGTCATGAGAAGACCTGGGGGGGGGGAACCTTAAATGCATATTACTAAGTAAAAGAAGTCAATCTGAAAAAGCTGCGCACCCTGTAATTCCAACCACACAGCTTTCATGTGGAGGTAATGGAAGATTGGCAGGTGCTGGGGCTGGGGGAGGGGTGAGGAGGCAGAGCATGGGGATCTGCAGGGCAGTGGACCTGCTCTGTGTGATACTGTCTCAGTGGGTGCACATGCTCTCAGTATGTTTTCCTAGATTCCATGTGTCTATTTAGCATCCAGAAATCACACGGCCAAACTACTAGCTTGAAGAGCTGGTCCAAGGCCAAGTCCCCAGTCACCTGCATGTCTGACTCTGAGGCACCATGCACATATTTTCCTACCCTAAATCACCCAGGCTCAACCGGGTTCAGGGTCAAGCCAGCCCAGAATAGCACAATAGCCTCGGGCTGGCCTGCACCATTCACACTAGCCCACCCTGACATATTGGCTGAGCCCTGCCAACATTCTAGGACACCCCAACACAGACTCTGGCCTTCACCTTACGCCTCCCCCTGCCCAAATCTGGCTTTTCCTCTCTGCCCACACATGATGCACAGTGTGTGTCCTCCTCTCTCAAGAAATCTGAGGAGTAGATTCTTCATTCAATGGCATCAGCCTTTCCATATTGACATATAAATTGCATCTGTGTACAATTTTAAAATATGTTATTATACATCTGTTGAAACTCACAGAGTGTCCACCACCAACAGTGAACCTTAATGTTAACTAAGAACATTGGGTGATAATAAGTCAGTGGAGGTTTTTCAATCATAACAAATGTACCACTCTGGTGGGGAAATTGGCACTGAGGGAGACCGTGCATGAGGTAGGGGGTGTATGGGAACTCTCTGCACTTTTCATTTATTTTTTCTGTAAACCTAAAATAAAATACAGTTTGCTAAAAAAATAAATAAATAAGGTTTATTCCACAATTGCTAAACTATGAAACCGACCTAGGTGCCCTTCAACAGATGAATGGATAAAAAAAAAATTGTGGTATATAACACTCAATAAAAGAAGAACAAAATTATGGCGTTTGCAGGTAAATGAGTGGAACCGGAGAACATTGTTCTAATTGAAATAAACCAATCTCAAAGAATCAAAGGCCGACTGTTTTCTTGGATATGCAGATACTAATTCACAATAAGGGGCAGGGGAAGAATAGAGGTACTTTGGACTAGACAGAGGGGTTTGAAGGGAGGGGAGGGGCCATGGGGGTAGGAATGATAGTAAAATAAATCAGACATTATTACCCTATGCGCATATATGATTATATGACCTGTAACTCCACATCATGTACAACCAGTTGAATGAGAAGTTATACTCCATTTATATATGATGTGTCAAAATGCATTCTACTGCCATACATAACTAATTAGAACAAATAAAAATTAAAAAATAAAAAAAAATTTAAAACTCTATTAAAAATAAAAGTAGAAGCCTTGGCTTAGCTTTGTAGAGGTAAAAATAACACATTCATCCGGTGTCCACTATCACTTGTCCTACAGTGACAGCCAGACCTCAAGATGGCTCCCACAACCCTGCCATTGTGTAACCTCCAGGGTTGGTTTGTGTGACCAAGAGAATAGAATTTGATGTGTGCCTTCCAAGATGAGACAGAAGAGACTGCTGCTTCCTTCTGGCTCCC